AAATTAAAGAATAGGGACAACAAAGAGAATACATGGATTCGAACCTAAACTGTCTCTTAGCTTTAACTCATTGATCTTAACCATGTTAACCTCGCGGCTAATCACAAAGATTATGTAAAAACTGCACGTTAGATAAAGTTGAAGATAAAGAACATTTTATATGTCAATGTTCCCTTTATAATTTCTTGAGAATAGAGTTATATGATAAAAGTTGTAAAAATTTCGAAATGTTAAACTCAAGAGTCAAGTTTAATTGGCTTTTTAATCCAAAAAACCTAGAGGTATTGAAAATTATTGCAATTTATATTAATAAACGTTTATATGTTAGTCAAGGCTCCGTGTTGTCCGCACTTTGACCTATATTTGTTTACTTTTTATACATTGTGACTTGGATGGAGAGTTGTCTCATTGGCACTCATACCACATCTTCTTATTTATACATTAAGAATATTTGCCTGATAATATTATATATATATATATATATCTGTTATGCTTTTTACTTATCCGCTTATGGTTCTGGTCTGGCTGTGGTTTAGAATTGAGATGATTATATTCATATTCATACATGATTATCAAAATTATTGTGTCAATTATTAAAATCATTGTAATAGATTACTTTGCTCATGGTTCCTTTTATTGGAATAAAAATATCTTATCTTATCTTATCTTATACAAAATACGTAAAGTCAGCTGAATGAACTTTGACATAGAAAGGAAAGAATACGATATATTAATTTATAACAGAGAAATCGTTACACGCACAAGACAATTAAACAAAACTTTTACTGCAGTTTCATGATCATTAAAAAAAAAACGAACAAGAAATACATTCCTTATCAAAACCGAATCTATTTAGTTTCTTCATCTTTAATCCTTGATGAAAATCATGACGATATTTTCTAATCATATAAAGTCCAATTCATGTATGGCCAGATTCTTTTCTTTTGTTTGCACTGTGCTCTTCCTTTCCTACTTATCTTTCGACATTATTGATATAGTTCATGACATTCGGGTTCAGTATAAATATTGTGTTAAAGTGTCAAACTTATAAAGGAAGCACTTCACCGTATATCCTGTCTGAAAACAGTAAAATGGATAAATATGAATAAACAGTCCTATGGGTATTTAATGGAGAAAACAGAAAATTGACCACAAATAATAATTGTCCGATCAAACATGACGGTCAATGATATTTTTAATTAAATTTTGTTTAAGAGGATCATAATAATAGCTTAACCTATTGACCTGTTAATTGTTATCATGATTTATTTGCCGTAAAAGGCTTTCTTTTTTAAACTGAATAATGTATATACTAGTATGTAAATACATTCAAAAACCTGATAATAAATTGTTCAAATAAGGCCTTCGAAAATAGTGGAATTAATTACTTTTGGAGTGTCAAGAACTCGTTGGAAGTACTTGATAAATTGCATGCATATATTGGTGATTTTGAATCTGTTCAAAGTTTTGATTTTTCTACCCTATATACCACATTGCCTCACATTCTCATTAAGAAAAAATTCACACACCTAATTAAATGGGCATTTAAAAAGTCAGAATGTGTATATATATGTTCAAACTCTTTTAGGTCATTTTTTAGTAGCAATAAACAAAAAAACTATGTCAATTGGACATGCTTTGATACTATATATGCCCTTGAATTTTTACTAGATAACATTTTTGTTCGCTTTGGAGATTCCATATATCGTCAGGTTATCGGAATTCCAATGGGGACTAACTGTGCACCACTTATTGCGAACCTTTTTTTGTATTGCTATTAGTTACAATTTATGACAAAAATCAGCAAAGACCCATCGAAACAACATCTGATACACAAATTTAATAATACTCTTAGATATTTGGATGATATTTTGGCTCTCAATAATGACGACTTCAGTATGTGTACTAAAGAAATTTATCCTGTTGAACTTACTTTAAATAAAGCTAATACTAACAATGACCACTGCCCTTTCCTCGATCTTGATATCTATATCATTAACGGAAAGCTTAATACTAAAATATATGATAAAAGAGATGATTTTTCATTTCCTATCGTTAATTATCCATTTTTAGATGGTGACGTTCCCTTGTCACCATCTTACGGTGTTTATATATCTCTACTTGTACGATTCGCTCGTGTATGTAACAATGTTTTAGATTTTAACGAGAGAAATTTATGTATTACTGAAAAATTATTACACCAGGGTTTTCGATATCACAAACTAGTCAAAACATTTACTAAATTTTATCATCGGTATAAGGACATCATTCGTAAATATAGCTCAACATGCAGACTTCTTATACGTTCAGGTATTTCACATCCAATTTTTTATGGAAATATTCTTTATAAAGCACAAAAATGTCAGTATTCACCTCTGAAGCTAACAAAACCTTTAAATAGACTTATTAAGAAGGGATATAGTTACGATACTGTTGTCAGGTCATTAAAGATTGCATATTTTGGCGTTAATATTGATTCACTTATAGGGTCTTTGCATCGGCACTAAACACATTTATTTAAAAACCAGTTGTTGGCATGACACGGGTTATGTTCTTCTCATATATGTTATGATGGTATGATACTAAACACCTAACGGGAAGGATTGTGCCTGATATTCATATGATGAAGACATAATCTTTCAATCAGTTTAATTGAAGTCTGGAGCTGGCATGTCAGTTAACTGCTAGTAGTCTGTTGTTATTTATGTATTATTGTCATTTTGTTTATTTTCTTTGGTTACATCTTCTGACATCAGACTCGGACTTCTCTTGAACTGAATTTTAATGTGCGTATTGTTATGCGTTTACTTTTCTACATTGGCTAGAGGTATAGGGGAGGGTTGAGATCTCATAAACATGTTTAACCCCGCCGCATTTTTGCGCCTGTCCCAAGTCAGGAGCCTCTAGCCTTTGTCAGTCTTGTATTACTTTTAATTTTTGTTTCTTGTGTACAATTTGGAGTTTAGTATGGCGTTCATTATCACTGAACTAGTATATATATTTGTTTAGGGGCCAGCTGAAGGACGCCTCCGGGTGCGGGAATTTCTCGCTGCATTGAAGACCTGTTGGTGACCTTCTGCTGTTGTCTGTTCTATGGTCGGGTTGTTGTCTCTTTGACACATTCCCCATTTCCATTCTCAATTTTAAATAAATATTTTGTTTATCATTGAAAGCACGTGAAATATGAATTTTAAAACTATTTACAAAACTTTGAATTTTTCGAAATATTAGTTCTAAGGATGTTCTACTCCCAGAAATAGATTACCTTAGCTCTATTTTGCAAAACCTTCTGGAATTTTTTATCCTCAATGCTCTTCAATTTATACATGTTATACTTTATTTGTTTTTTTTTTTTTTTCAATCTTTTTTATTTGAGCGTCACTGGTGAGTCTTTTTGTAGACGAAACGCGTCTGGCGTGCAAAATGTTATTCCTGGTACTAGTATCTATAATAATTTAATTTTATATACCTACTATCAAATATTTTTCAACTATTATTATTAAACCATGGGGACAACTGCTTTTTCTTTTACTTAATTCCAAAGGTGAAATCGGGATTTCCTTTCGTGTTTTCCGATTCATAATTTAAACTAGATATCTATTGGTTATTTGTGTTTTAGGTTATTGCAGTAAACCCCACATCTTTGTGATTTAAAAACAGAGAACGTTAAAATTAAAATGATTCATCTAATATATGGGCTCGGTAGAAAAAAGGTCAAGTGACTTTATTATCCTATACTCTGTCCCAAAATCAGAAATTTAGAATAAAAACGGCATACTGACCGTGTCTCAATTACGAAACATGAAAAAGAAGTCTGAAGTTATTGCATCTTAAACGTTTATTCTATGAAAACGCTAATGAAACACATAACACCAAGTGTGTATAACAGGCATCGTAAAACAGCGCCTTTTATTCCTTAGTATTTCATCAAAGAAAGGTGACGGAAGCTCTTTTTCAATTGAGTAAAATCATATCTTACATATCCTAACAATTTCATGTATACATATGTAATGTCTAGAAGGCTGGCAACGGTACAAACTGTTATTTTTTCAGCACATTCAAGATGTCATGGACGGACGCACAGGATCGTATAAAAAAAAACATCAAATTATACAGCCAATATAACCAAGGAGGGTAGAAAAATAAAATAAGATATATTGTTTATTCTTTGTCAAAATGTAGTAGTCATCATTTTATTCTTTCATATATATATAATGATAATAAGTAAAAAAAATATGTCAACTAATGTCTTTTTAAACTTTAGTGTGCATGATCATAAGTCACATATTTGTGAGATTTATCCCGACTACAGGACTAAATAGAAAGTAAGATGATAGATCAAGTTACTCATTGTCTTGCTAGAATTTAATAAACAGTGAAAATTAACGTAAATTATCTTTAAGTTAGTAATCTGCATTGAGAATCAAACATTATATTTTTAGAAGAATTGCAAGTTTTCTATATTTGTAAAAAAAAATCCCTGATTATATCCATATGCTAAAACAATGACAATATCTTTGTGTAAATGAAAGATTTTCAATTGTGTATTTTGTTTTATTATTATAGACAAATTGTACAGATATGTTATCCTATTTGACTGATGCCGTTTGTATTTCTATTACAGACAAATTGTACCAATATGTTATCCTATATGATTGATGTTGTTAGTATTTCTATTACAAACCAATTGTACCAATATGTAATCCCATTTGACTGATGTCGTTTGTTTTTCTATTACAGACAAATTTTACCAATATGTAATCCCGTTTGACTTAGGTAGAAGACTTAAAATCAAATAAACAAGATAGTGAAATCTAATGTAAATTATCTTAGCAATCTGCATTGCGAATCAAACATTACATTTCTAGAAGAATAACAAGTTTTCTATATTTAATTAAAAAAAACTGGTTAATACCATATGATAAAATAATGACAATGTCTTTATGTAAAAGAAAGATCTTCAATTGTGTATTTAAACTGCTTTTTTTTTCAAATTTTAGACAAATTGTACCAATATGTTATCCCATTTGACTGATGTAAATGACTTAGAAGAAGCTCTCTATTTTGCATCATTGACAGAGTTATTTATAAGCAAGTATTTTTTCAAAATAATTTCGTTCACATTTACACAAAATTTTAAAATTTGAAAACCGTAAAACGTGGAATAAATTGTACAACGTGGAATAAGTTGATTAGAAAAAACTAAGAACCATTTTCTTATCTCACACTGTGATATTCCAATGTAGGGGACGACCATTTGATATCATGGAATAGTCTAGCTGTTGGTTTTATTATAAAACTGATATTTTCTGAGCTTCACTTTGATGAGAGTTAAGACCGATTTCCCCTAGTTAATCTCTCACGAGAGTCATTTTCAAAGCTCTTCAGCATCTACTAAAATTTCTTAGTAATTTAGAATGCATAAAAGTTATGTTTCAGGTGGTGAGGCATGGATAGATAGAAGGGGAACAAATAGTAGTAACTTCACTTTTATAGTTTGGACATCTATTTGAAAAAAAGTTTAATTTTTTATGCATGAATCGAAAAAAGAGTTGTTGTCGAATTCCGTTCATTCATGCTCAAGTTTAGAATGGAGAGATAAAGGAGGGAAGGAAAACAGAAAGATAGGAAACTCAGTTTAATTGTTTATATAGTGGTATATATGTTAGCGAGTGATGGTTTTGTGCAAATTAAGCAACGAAAAAACAAACCTACAATATTCAAACTTTTGGCAGTGAAGGAAAGTAAAAAACAAACAAATGTTTTCATCAATCATCACCGATGAACTGTGTGAAGTTCCGACATGCGAAATATGCGAGTCATAGTTGCGACGTGATGATATAGCATGTCTCAGTTGAACAGGGATTTTACCCATTGTCAAAACAAATATATAAACTGGGATCGAGTCCATCACACCACTCAAAAAAATCTGATATAGGTATGAATCGGAAACCACTTTCCTGTCACATAACAAGTTATATATTTCCTTATTGACCTATGTACGGAAACAGTACAGTTCATTTTGTTTAACTACACAGTTCCTACTTTAGAAAATCTATTACATAATATTCTCGAAATATAATAATAATTCCAACAGATTATTGAACACTTAGTATACTCAAGAAAACTGCGAATGTATAAGTAGAGGCGGAAGCTGTATCTGATGGGCCTTCTTTCTCTGAAAATCAGTAGCTGGATTTCAAGCGAAAACAAAACAATAATCAGTTTTTCTTTGGAATGATCACAAAATGACTGCTGCTAGACGTCCAGTGGCAAATATTATGCATATTAAGAATGATATCAGGTGGTAGATATACAAAGAGAGAGAAAACTCTCAAGAGTAAGTTGTAAATTTAGAATTTAACAGTAAAACAAGTGTGGGGTGTATTTTGGTTTAGGCGGAAATCTAGGACCATAATAAAGATAACCTATTGACTTTACCGGCGAGTTGATATCTTAATTTTGAATGACAATAATATACCTACTTGTCTAACTCGTTTATGACACAAGCTAATTCAAATTAAATAGTCATGTCCTTTTGAGTGATTGTAATCTTTCAAGTTGACTTATTTATAGATATGACACAATATACTTCAACTGTACATGAAACTTTGTAGTCTTTAAACTCATGTGAATGACAATACCAACTCTCATACCAAATGCTTCATGGTCATGTTCACAATTTCTATTTTCTATGTTAAAAAAGAGGGACGAAAGATACCAGAGGGACAGTCAAACTCATAGATCGAAAACAAACTGACAACGCCATGGCCAAAAATAAAAAGACAAACAGACAAATAATAGTACAGATGACACAACATAGAAAACTAAAGACTAAGCAACACGAACAGTATATACTATGTTTGATTAAAATAGGTTATACCACGAAAAAAACTAAACAAAGAAAACCTACATCAGTAAATATTGTAAATAACATGACTAACTATAGATAACCATTAATATGAGAAGTACTTTACGTTAATCAATGGAGAAAAGAGACAGTTCAGGACTTGTACTCCTTGTAATTTTTCTATAGACAAAATATATCATATACTTTCTATAGTACTTAGGAAACTAATATAAGACAAGGTGGGCAGGTGACACTCGCCAGTCAAGCATATGCATACAATATACGATCAACCAAACACTATACCAGGATGTTTTTTTTGTACCACCTGAAAAAAGCAGCTAACAATTTAGTCTTTGTTTGAACAAGTACTATATTGAGTTACTAAAAAAATGAGGTAACAGCTTCCTAGTATTGTCATACTTACTACTTGTATTGAAGAAAATGTTACAATTACTGAATTTGAAGCTTCTACTAAAAATCACAAGGTTCCATGTGTTGACATGAATTATCATTAATATGGTCATAATTATAAATTAACTTTGTAAAATACTTTGAATTGTTCGAAAAAATAAAGATTTCCTACTCCAGGAATAGATAACCTAAGCTGTATTTGGCAAAACCTTTCGGAACTTTGGGTCCTCAATGCTCTTCAACTTCGTACTTTATTTAACCTTTTTCTTTTTTTGCTTTTTTGATTCGAGATTCACTGATGAGTCTTTTGTTCACGAAAGGTGCGTCTGGTGTAAAACATTTTAATCCTGGTATCTATAATGACTTATTCCTGTCACGGTAGCGGTATTTTTAACATTGCCATATAAGTGGGAGGTTTGATTAGCCATAAAACCAGGTTCAAACCACCATTTTTTCTTATAATGTCCTGTACCAAGTCAGGAATATGGCAGTTGTTATCAAATAGTCCGTTTCTATGTATGTTGGTGTATGTTTTTGTTGCAGTAAAGTGTTTCTGTTGTTCCATTGTTTTCCTCTTATTGTTGATGTGTTTCCCTCGGTTTTAGTTTGTAACCCGGATTTGTTTTCGCTTAATCGATTTATGACTATTGAACAGCGGTATACTACTGTTGCCTTTATTCCCAACTATGTATTAACTTCCTAGATTATATAAGAATACTTATAAATTTAGTTTTTTAAGACTGTATGCAAAAAATTTTCAACTACAAATGTTTCAATTCGTACCCTTACAACCATTAAAGGACTCGTTATTAAATTTAATGGCAAATCTTTTGTTAACAAAGATTATCGTTTTTTTTCTTGAGTGTTAATCCTCCTGAAATTTTGGATAAGTTTCAATTCTTTTTTGTCTCCGTTGACCGCCACGATTTCTCTAGTCTGTATATCACACTACCACACAATCCTATCAATTATATTACGTGGTAGTGTGGTCAACAGAGGAATGTATTTCTGTTTAAATCGTTTAAAGCATTTTCTACTGTCGAAAGTTACTATAAATACATTGATATGGTAGATTGTTTTTTGTATTAATTATTAGTTTTATCATATGTATTTTAAGAGTTTATCATTTCTTCTATTCTCTTATGAAACCTTATTTTCTTGGTATGTAATATTTTTTTAGTACTGCAGTTCAACTCTATTCTCTGGTTCGTTAATTATTCCGATGTGAACTAGCTGTGTCCCTATTATGGTAGTTTGTTTCTTTACTGTTATAAATCGCAGAATATTGCTATACTTCATCGACAAAAAAAAACAAAAAAAACAAGATCGATATTTTTAACAATATCTTTGGATATTTAAACAACGAATTCTCACAAATAATTAAGATTTAAAACAAAAGTGAAATATCCACAGTTTATCATTGTTTAAATATCGGAACGATTTAGAGCTTGACATATGGTATAGTATAAAAGAGCATACAACTGTCTATTGTTGAAGATTATGTGTTGCTTTCTAGATGTCTTTTTGGTTATTTGAGTCGTCGACGTGTAATCTACATCTTTTTTTATTCACATGCATATATTACATTGATTGTTATTACCTCGGACCTTATATAACATATATATCAATCAAGTCCGAGTTATTACCAAATAAAGTTTTCACCTATGCATATCAACAGAAAAGCTGACCAATACACGAAAAGTTCAAATTAACATATGAGCAATAATAATTGATAAAGGTCAGATGACCCTCAAAATAGTATGTATATCTTATTACAAATATTAAGACATAATAAAGATCATAACACTCATATGGGACGAACATGTGAATCTTACAACTCTACAGTGTATAAATGTCCTATTCGTCATACATGTACTTGTTCCGTATAAGTGAGAGTCTGACCTAAAAGTAAACCATATAGACATATACTACAGCCATGCAAATGAGGTCAAGGTCAGATGAAACCTACCAGTCAGACATGCACACCTAACAATCATTTCATACACCAAATATAGAGGCCCTATTGCTTATATTATCCGCAAAATAGACCAAACCACAAAAACTTAGCATTGTTCACTGAACCATGAAAATGATGACAAGGTCAGATGAAACCTGTCAGTCGGATATGCACCTTACAATCATTCCATACACCAAATATAGTTGACCTATTGCTTCTAGTATCTGAGAAACGGACTTTACGACGTCAACTTAACCTTGATCACTGATCCATGGAACGATCAGGGTCAGGTAAATCCTGTCTGACAGACATGTAGACCTTGCAAGGAATCGATATACCAAAGATAGATTTTCCATTTCTCATAATAAGTGAGCATTTTACATTACAAAAAAAACCTAAGTGTTTTCAAGTAGTCACTGAACCATGCAAATGAGGTCAAGGACAATGGACATGTAACAGAGGGAAACTTCGTAAATTAATATATATTCGTACAAAGTATGAAGCAACCAGGTCTTCTATCCACTGAAATATAAAGCATTATACAAATAGTTTATACCGTCGCCACCGGGTTGTAATCACTATGTTTTGCATTCTGCAATCATTCGACAACATACATATAAATCACCAAGATTATCAAAATAAGTATATTCAATCCCATGATGATAAGACGATTTTCAATGACACATTTCCAGCAAAGGTCCAAGGACTTCATCAATATGACACACACACCCGAATAAATCTACTCCTGACCATATAATGTACATTAACTATTCTAACAAGAGTGCACACGCTAAAATGTCTCGCTTTGTTTTACTTTTCACTGATTTCATGTTAAAAGTCTGTGTAATATGAAGGTTTTACTACAAGTATCACA